TAAGACCCAACCCCTGACCTGGGGGGCTGTCAGCCTTATCTAGGGGATTGTATGAGGACATCTATGGCTCTGACACTAGTCAAGAGGCAAGTGATTGTCATAGGTCCCCCAGAAAAGGGCAGGAGCAATGGAAGAGGGTAGAAGTTTCTAGGAGGTTGAGACGAGCCTCGTGAGAAAAAATTCTGGCAGGTAGAAATGGGGCTGGGGTTGGGGGGAGGAGACACCTCAGCGACCAGAACAGCTGGAGCAGAGGCATGGAAGGAAATATAGTCAAAATGAGAGAAGGGCAACTCTAAATTTGGCCAGGACACCTTTGGGTTGAGTGAACTTGGGAATGCTTTCACCATTCTGCCCAATCTCCAACCCTCTTTGCCAAAAAGAAAAGGTCCTCCAAAACCAAAATGAAACCAACTCCCAAAAAAATGAAGCAGCAGAGACAGGGGAATGTGGGGGAAAGACCTCACACTCTAGAGTCATACGTTGAAGCCAGACTCTTTTCCTATAAAGACTTGCAACACAAGGTGCCTGGGTGGCTCAGTCGGCTATCTCTTTCTCTCTTTCTCTCTCTCTCTCTCTCTCTCTCTCAAAAAATTTTTTTAATGTTTATGTTTGAGACAGAGAGAGACAAAGCATGAATGGGGGAGGGTCATGGAGAGATGGAGACACAGAATCCAAAGCAGGCTCCAGGCTCTCTCTCTTATAAAGAAAATTTATTTATTTGCAAGAGATAGCATGAGCGGAGGAGGGGCAGAGAGAGAGAGGGAGAGAGAGAATTCCAAGCAGGCTCCACACTGTCAGCATGGAGCCTGATGTGGGGCTTGAACTCACGAACTGTGAGATCATGACCTGAGTTGAAATCAAGAGTTGGACGCCTAACCAGCTGAGCCACCCAGGGGCCCCAACGTGTCTGACTCTTGGCTTCGGCTCAGGTCATGGGTTTGAGCCCCGTGTTAAACTCCACCCTGACAGTGAGGACCCTGCTTGGGATTCTCTCTCTCCCTCTCTCTCTGCCCCTCTCCTGCCTTCTCTCTCTCTTGAAATAAATAATCTTAAAAAAAAACAAAAAACAAAAAACCTTGTAATCTGGACAAGTACCTCAACTTTTCTGAGCCTCAGTTTCTAAAGCTGTAAGAGAATACTTACCTCATATGGCAGATGTGGAAAGATTAAGTAAGACTTAGGCAGAGCAGTTAGCTGGTGCTCAACAAACACGAATTCTCTCAGCCCCAACAATAACACAAGTCTCTGGCTGTCTCAGCTGTGTTAAAGGGACAGTGAAGGTCCAGAGCTGAGTCACCTTTGCTCCCTCCTACACGAGCCCCTCTGGGGATGCCGGGCGCTGTTTGTTTATGGAGTTCTGGCTTTGCTTGTTTCTTCTGGAACCACCTCTTCAAGAAGGGGGGAGCCAAGATCTGCTCACTGGAGTACAGGTGCATACGTGTCTGTAGTTGCCAGCAGAAACTGCACCAAGCTGACCCTACTTCCTCCCTCTGCCTCTTACACAACATTTCTCACAGGCTCCTCCATGTCCAAGGGCCTAAAAAGGGGCCCTTTTCTTGCCTAGATTCTCCCATTATCAAGGTAAGCACAAGCAGCTTCCAGTTCCTCTGCTCTTCTGGCACACAAGTCGAGGCAGACTCTGGACCCCTTGACCTTACTCCAAGCAAGCTGGCCTACTTCTAAGCACCCTGGGGCACCTTGGTACAAGGCCAGTGGGACTCACCCAGAGAAGGGCCAGCCTGTTCCTGTCCTTAGGCCCTGCTCAGGGCAGATTCTGTCTCTGCAGCTCAACATGAGCTTAACATGGGCCAGGTCAGCCTGGTCAAACAGTAAGCCCCAAGGCTCTGTGAAGGTCCCTGGGCAGGGGCACCCGGGATTGCGTGTGGCGTGGGCGGCTGGCTGAGGCATACGTCAGGAAGGGATCAGGGCTGAGATGAGCAATGGTGCCCCTGGATACCTGGTGGCAGGAACTGAGACAGAGAGGAGGTTTTGCAGGGAAAGGCAGGGATGACAATGTTGTAATACTCCCCAGAAGGTGAAACCTGAAAGGAATTCGAGTTGGGTGTGGCCTCGCGGGGGCAGCCGGCTATGCTGACCCCTCCTGCTTCTTTGAGTCCCCACTCTGGGGCTCCCCGTGGTTGTCTGATTGTCTCCTGATGATAACCAAAAGCACTTTGAGAGCCAGACCTGTGTGTTACAGGCCTGCCTGTACCCATCTGCCCTTCCCTGCCCAGGGCAGGGCACGGAGGAGGCTGCAACCGACACCAGCTGCCTGGGAGATGGAAGGGTAGGGAGAAGACTCAGCACAGGGCCCAGGGAGAGGGCCGGGGAGGATGGGCCGGAGGGGCAGCAGGAGCAGTGGAAGGATGGGGTGGGGGGCTGAGAGGGCATAGGCAGAGGGACCCAGGAGAGGGGCTTTGTGGAGGGGTAGACCAGCCAAGGGGACAAGGACCAGGAACCAGATGGGATGGGGGGCAGGCTGCAATGAAGCAATTTCTGAGCTCACTGTGGGGGCTCTGCCCAGGGATGGGGGGGCCAGGGAGCTGAACGGCCTCAGGAAATGTCTCAGAGAGAGTGTCAAGGCCTCTGGTTAGGACAGGGTGGGTAGGAACCAGGATGAGGAAGGAAAAAGGGCAGGCCTGGGCCCAACCACCTCATCTTGATTTGTCCACTGAGCTTGGGCTCCTGTGGGGCCCTCATGTGGGCTTTTCTTTCACCTTGCCTGGATCCCCACCCCACTCTCACGTCACCCAAAGGGGCCTTTAAGGGTTGATGGGAACTCTTCCTCAGTGACTTGTCCTGAAAGCTGGAATCCACCCCTTGGTCCAGCCCTTGCTGGAGGAAGTCTCTGGCCAATTTCACTTCCTTCCAGTTCTCTAGTTGCTTCTTCCTGTATTTTCGGAGTACTCTGTGTAAACTTGGCTATAGCACTGTTCTCACAGACTTAAATAGTCTTCCCTAGTGCCTGGCATGGTGCTGGGAAGAGGATGGGCATTAAATAAACTTTTTTTTTGAATGAACATTGATCCCCCCTCAATGTCCTGAGCCTCTCTACTATTGAGTTTCTTAGATCTTGTTTCTCTTCTACCTCCAATCAAAACTCACTGTCCACGTTTCATTCCCTCAGAGCTCTGTACTCTTGCTTATGTTTCCAAGCTTGTTGGAGAGAAGCAGGGTGGTGTTCTGGAGAGAACACTGTACCCTCTGTTTTCTGGGGATACCAGGACTGAGGTCTAACTCCACACAGTGTGGACCCTTGGGGCCTCAGTTCACTCACTTCTTCCCATCAGTGGAAGGTCTAGATGACTTCTAAGGTCTTCCAGGGCTGAAGTGGAAGTCCTTTGTGGGCCAGGACCTGGTTTGTCTTATGCTCTGTGCCCCCAGAGCCAAGAATGGTGACTAGTGCAGAGCACGCTCTTAAATATTTGTTATGAGAAGGAACTGACAACTTCGATGGCTACCTAGTGCCTGGTGTTTTATACATGTTATTTCATTTCATTCCCAGAGTGATGGAGTTAAAATTTGTATATACATTTGCATGACTCTGAAGCCCATACTCTTCCCATAATACTTTGCGGCCTTTAGGAGACGATGCCATTGCACAAGGATTTGTTCTAATGATGGATGTGAAAGGCTGAAGGAGATCTGGAGACCCTTATTCTTATCATAGCATATAGGCAATGCCTCTGCCCCTCGCAGACCTTAGGAGATAATAGGAACTTAGGGTGGTAAGTGGAAGAGGGTGAGAGGGTGGTGAGGCTATCTGATCACTGTCATTTAAATGGGGTGCTTGCGGGGTGTCTGGATGGCTGTCAGTTGAGCAACCGACTTCGGCACGGGTTGTGATCTCGTAGTTGGGGGGTTCAAGCCCCACATCAGGCTCACTGCTGTCAGCGTGGAGCCTGCTTTGGAGCCTCTGCCCGCCCCCACCCCCTGTATCTCCCCCACTCACACTTTCTCTCAAAAATAAATAAGCATTGAAAAAAATAATAGATGGGTGTTTGGTTAGTTCCAGTCACCTGCTAAGCCAGCTCTCTCTAAAAAACAAAACAAAAAACAAAACAAAACAAAACAAAACAAAAAGCCCTAATTAGTAGCTTTTGTTGGTTTCTACGGCATATACACTCTCACTGTGGCTAAATTCAAGCAACAAATATGAAGTCACCACTGACTGCAGAGCTGGAAGAGAAGCACATAGTCAGCTCTTTTGCAAGCCAGTGAGCTGCCCTTCGCACACAACTGGAACAGTAAGCAGCGCTGTCCCCAGAAAGCTACAGGAAGGTCATGGCTTCTGCACATGCTATGGGCAGCTTTGGGAAATGTCAGCTCTCACTTTGCCTTTTTCAAAGATTAGAAAGACTAGACTGACAGCAGCTGTCCCATTACGTGGATGGCCCTCTAGGCTGCTGCCAGGAAGGCTCCCTCAGAACGGTCCTGGGCTCCCCTTTGGAACACACCCCCTGTTGCCTTGCCTCAGGCTGGGACAGCCCCTGGACCAGGCAAGGCTATTCCTTGCAGTCAATTCCTCAGGGAGCACTTCAGGTGGAACCATCCTGCAAGGAAGGATGGGTGTGTCGGTGCCATCGGCCTCTGCCTCTCACTTGGTTTCGGCCAGTACTTTCCTCCCAAATTCCAGGAAATCATAAATACCAAGGAATCTGCCCTTGCTGTGCCAAAAGCAGGCCCAGCTGGAAGGCAGCAGGCATCCCTAAAGAGATGGTGGAATGAGGGGGTGGAAAAGTACTGAGAGATAGGGGTGTGCCAGCTTCTGGTTGGGGAGGGACCCTGCTCCCCAGCTGAGGTGTGGAAACGGGCCTCGCAGCTGAAGAGCAGGCCTTGAGCTGGGCAGCTCTAGAGGGAAGAGTAGGAACAGATGTGGAGGAAAGGGGCCTTGTCCTAGCAAGCTCCTTGAGGACCTAAACAGCTTGCAGGTATGTCTTGGAGTCTTTCTCTCAAGTACTTAACACTGGCTAAGCACAGACAGAACCAGCAGTCAAAAATTTGTTGAAAGAGAAATGAGACTTTTATTAGCCTGCAGGATGTTTTTCAATACTAAGGCAAAAAGTAAAATGTAGGGGCAAGTAAAATTAAGGCATAAAGAAGTATCTAAGGGCCCCGAGGGCTCACCCAGGACATACAGTGGAGGTCTTCTCTTCATATCAAGGGTATGAGGTAGGCAGGAGAGGCTGACTTGTTTCACGGAGTCAGGCCCTACCACATAGCCCAAGGGAGAACAGTTGTGAGGTCAGGCCAGGAGGGTTAGAATTTGCTAGTGTAGAGGGTCATAATCCACTTGGGCATACGGAGGAAGCCAGGCAAGTAGGAGGCCAGCCAGCCCATGGTGGAGACATGAGAGAGAACTGAGCTCAAAGACAAATAGTCTTGGATGGGGCGGCCTGTGGACCACAGGAAGAAGAGAAGGGTTACACTGTCATTTCCCACTCCTCAGACACCTCCACCTAGGCTAAAGAGCCTGAGTGGGATGTGAGGGAGGAATGGGGAGAAAGTGTGGGAGAAGGTGAAGTGAGCAGGGAACGGAGGAAGGGAGGTCTAGGCTGGCTGCTGGGCCAGAGCTCTTACCATCCACATCCCGAAGGCCATAGCGTCGAGCAAGGTCACAAGATGGCAGCACCTTCCCACTCAGGCTCAGGATATTGGGGTCTGTGGGCACAAATACAGCTGAGAAGGCATGGCAGTGATGCAGTGTGACAAGGTTTGGGCCCAGTGGGACAGGGCACCACTGAAACAGGCTTCGGTGCCCAGAATTCTTTCTTTCTATTCCTAGGCCTCTGACTCCTGGCTATACTTCCTGCGGCTCCCAAACCTCAAACTGGGCCCACATAGGGTCTCCAGAAGCCGGAGAAAAGAAGGGCATATTCCTCAACCATATCCTGAGCCAGGACCCAGAACTGGCTACTACCACCCTGCAGATTCTCCATGCCCTTTCTTGTTACCACCTGCCCCCAACCGCTTTACCTGTTGCCAAAGCCACCACACATTTGCCACTCATTTCTGTGGTCTCTGCAGAGCTGAAATCAGATCTGAACTGAAACACAGGGGCAGAGAAGTGAAGGGTTAATTTCCAAGAGAACTGCCCAAATTTCTTTCCCACTTTTAGCTTCTATTCCAAGAGAGACAGGCCCTCATCACTGCACCTGCAGGACCCAGAATCTTAGAAGATGCTTGAGCCACTCTTCCCTACCTCCAGGTACATCCTGTACCCTGGCACCAGGACCCACTGCTTTTCCTAAGTGAAAGATCTTGGGATGTCAACTATGTCTGGACCTTCTAGGTTAGTTCAGGGCAGGGGTCAACAGCATGGGCTTCGGGGAAGGAAGCTTTTCCATTTATGGCATACATGACCTTGAGCAAGTTTCTAACCTTTCCAGGTTTCAGAATTGCCATCTGCAAAATGGAGATAATATCTCCTTTGCTGGATGAAAGGACATAATGTATGTATGCTGCTTGGCCCTGCTCCTGCCACAGTAGGCACCTGGGTATTTCCTCTTTGTTACTGTCTTGTCATTGAGGATGGAGAAGCTGATTCCTTTGCGTTCCCTCCCTCCCTCGCCCTCCCCCTGCCAACCTGCTTCAACAGGGGATCATCAGCGTTGTTGTTTTTCATCACAACCTCCTTCAGTAGTTCTGTCTGCACCAACCCTGGCCACAGAGACACATAGCTGACCCCGTGGCACCGCAGCTCCTGGGCACAGTCAGCAGCCAGCCTGTCGCACTGTAGAAGGACAGAAGGCAGGGGAGAGCCAGGGCGCCCGGCCACATCACCTTCCTCCCCTGCCTTCCTTGCTTCTGCTGAGGATGCCCCAGCCCTTCTCAGGAGCCCTGTCTCAGCTGTCCACCTTCCCCAGTGTGCTGCCTACCCTGGCCACCCAAGGGGAGCCCAGGCAAAGGAACTGTTTATGAAGGCGCAGAGGGAGAGGTGGGAGCCAGTGGGCCTTACTACTCCGATCATTGGGGATCGGATCTCCTGAGCTATGGGTACCATCACTGTCTGATGCCTCCCTAACCCCTGTGCTCCTGGGTCCTCACCGCAGCTTTGCCAACACCATAGGGGACATTGAAGAGATACTGCAGCCCCCCGATGGAGGAGATGACCACGATGAGTCCCCGGCCAGCTGGTACCATGAGCCGTGCTCCATACACTGAGCACAAGTAGTGACCTCTAGAAGGTGAGGCAAGGAAGGAGAAGGAATACATGACGTTCACTGCTGGCCTGGCTGCTGTAGCCCTGGCAGCTTCCTCTGCCCTCTAGGGCTAGAGGCCACTTCCTGAGAGCAACAGTGGTAAAAGGAACCACCAATGGATGCGTGTAAAGGAAAAACTCAGTTTTCCATTCTCCTATGTAGGGAAAACCCAGCACACATATACTCGATAACCAGAAAAACATTTCATTTGCATGGGAAACAGGATCCTCCGAGTGAAAACAGGTAGAGAGAATTATAGTTTCAAAAGGAAAACCCAATCTAAGGTAATGCAAAGGAAAGGCACAGTAAATGTGTACGTGAGTGGGGGAGGAGGTGAGGACATGTTGGCGGGCTTCCCAGAGGCTCACAAAATGGCCTTTATCTTGGAAAATTCATCATGGCTCAGGGACCAAGGCCTGGGCCTCTGCCCAGGCTCAAAACTCTGACCCGCAAGAGATGAGGGAGTGGAAGGCCTCTCTTTGGAAGGCTAAGCATGTGGGCCATAATTGCCAATTATCAGCATTTTAGGTTTTCTTTTCTTGCCTCTTGGCTGACCATCCCTCTCTGTCCTCATAATCTTTCTTCTGCCTTGGAAATCACAACTGGATTCTAATCCTGCTTCCTTGGTATTTCCACAAGAAGCTGTGGGTGTTCTTAAAATGCTTTAGGCACAGATTTTCAGATAATCTCTTAGTTACTCCCACAGGTGGCTGATCACACCCCCATGGAATGCAGTTTCTGAGAGGGCACTACCGTTCCAACAATAAAAAAGAGACACAAGTGGTGTGTCATGCTAGGTGAACTCTTCGTGCTGTGTTTCATCTCACTCCCATGCAGATGTATGTGTAACTCTGATGTTGGAGTGCCCTTGCCTGTGGATCTGGAGTGAGGATGTGGAGGCTAACATGGCTGGCACTCACACTCACTGACCTTCTCTTGATCTAAGACAAAAGAATTTCTTTTTTTTTGTTAATATCAACTACAGGTGGTGTGCATTATTCAAAGAGGGAGGCTTCCTTCTGATCACGCACTTGGATGTGCAGAGTGAGGCCGGAGAGAGGCCAAGAGCAAGTGCAGTTGTGTCAGTTCTGACAGAAACAAGGTAAAAGTCAATGTTCCCAGGTACAGATCCACCTGGATGGAAATTTTCCAGAGGTGTGAGACAAACGGGACAAAAAGGAGAAGAAAGAGATGGGGAGGTCAGAGAACAAGGGCGGGCATATGAGGAACGGTCCAGGGCCTCAGCTGAGTGAATGAGGGGAACCCAGACCCTGGGACAAAGGGAACACTTACCTGAGTCCCACATTGTTGATATCATCCCAGATGGAGGCAGGGCTTTCCCAGAATGCCTTCTTAGTGTTCTTTATAATTGCCTGGAAGGCAAAGGGAGTGTTGTAAATTGGATGATCTAAAGGCAGGCAGGTATGAGGGGCTGGATAATGAAAGGGATATGAGTGGGGATAAGGACTCAGGACTCAGGGGTCAGAGGGGGAGGTTAGGGATGTGGAGCTGGAATCAAAGTGTAAAGGGTACCAGGACCCCAGCGTAGGCGTTGTTGACCAGCACATCCAGACGCCCCTGCTGTTCCCGATCCACTTGCTCAAACAGGCTTTGCACTTCACTCTCCTGGCTTGAATCACATACCACAGGCACACACTGGCCCCCTCGAGACTGTGCCTGGAGAGACAGAGGGGATATGAGCTTATAGTTGCACATGAGTGTGAGACATAAGGCAACCCTCTTCAACTCCCAGCTTGGGAGGAGCTGAGAAGGGGAGGAGGCACTGAGAAGGCAAAAGTAGGAATCAAAGCCAGCAGCTGAGGGAATATGGTGAGCAATACCGCCCTCTGGTGTCTGTTTGAGGAGTTTCAGGAATGCTAGGTCCTTTCTCTACAGAGGGAAACAGATTGGGATCTCAAGCTTAAAATCTACATTTACAGAGGCCTACCAGGTGCAAGTAGTTGTATACTCTTAGTGGAAGGCAAGGGACAAATAGGGAAGGGGGGATGCTCCTGGGAAAGGAATATCTCTCTTCTTCCTCATCCTTGGTCATTTCCAACGTTCACACCATAAGCTCCCACTCTTCACCGCTCACGTGTAACCTCTCCTCTGTCCTGGCCCTCTTACCCTCACATCACCAATGCTCCTGCCTAGTTACTGAAAAATCAAAAACTTTCAGGCATGAACTATTTCTACTTTCCGTTCTACCTCACCCTTCACAAATGAGTCCCCATCCTCTAACTTCAAAGGAAGAAGAAATACCTTATTCAGGACCAATCCTCCTATTCTCCAGATCCGTGCTCTAGTTCCCACCCTCTTACCTTCTTGCCTCCTAACTGCTCCCCCGTGCTCCCAGAGCATTGTGTCTGCCTCTGATTTCCTGCTGGGTCCTATCTTTCCAAAGCAGAAGTGACATCTTATTTATCTTGGTAACCCCAGTGCTTCACCCAGTGCCTAGCAAACCAAATATATTTTTTCAAACTGAAATCCAGTAAAAAAAAAAAAAAAAAAAAAGTCAACTGAAAGTGTACAGCTCAATAAAGTCTTCCCTAAAATAAAGGAAAGCACAGGTCCACAACCCTTCAGCTGCAATTCCAAAATCCCTGAAGGTTTCAAAGAGAAGGTTTTTTTTCCATAAAACTCACTTATTGGCAAAATTTGACCTGATCTGAAGTCATTTATGGGCTTCATTTATTCCAGTCTGAATAAATATTCACATTTCGTGGAGGAATATAATGGTTTCAGGTAAGGGATTAGTGGAAGGAGTGGTTAATGGGAAGGGCTACCTCAGGTGGTGTGTGTCCTACTTGTTCCAGAGGAAGCACCCACCTCCTCAGCAGTGGCCCGCAGCGTGTCCATATGGCGGCCAGTGATGTAAACTGTGGCACCTGCCTGGCAGAGTTGCAAGGCGATGCCGCGGCCAATACCTCTGGAAGCACCGGTCACCACGCACACTTGGCCCTTCATGGGAGCTGCCATGACTCACATGCAAAGGGGGTAAAATCTGTGGAAGCAAAGACTTGCTCTGAGGGAAGCCTGCATCTTGTGTATGTGTGGAAGGGGGACCCGGATAGCGGGAGGGAGGAGGAGCCAAGGTTGGGATCCTCTGAGAAGAGAGAAGTTTCAGAGCAGGACAACAGTGCAAACCCCAGGGCAAGGCTGTTCGTCCTTTTTGGCAGGCCAAGAAGTAAATAAGGGGGCTCGGTGGGACTGTCCAGGGCTACCCACCTATAAGGACTCTCTGAAAGGGGTTGACCGGGTGGGGGGCGCTCAGCGCGGCAGCCCCTCAACGGCGGGTCCACGCAGCGTCCTGGGCTATCCAGAGCTCTGGCCTCTGGCGTGGCCCAGTCGGGCTGAGCCCGGAGGGGCGGCTTCCGGGTCGGGGGTGGGAGCGGGGACCGGGCACGCAGGAGGGAGCTCGCGCCCTTTACCTGCCCTCCTGCAGTCCCGGCGCCGTCTAGCCGGCGAAGTCCTTGGACTCTAGGACTTCGATTTTGGCTGCGGGGGCGGGACCAGGTGACTGCAACTGGATCAGAGTGTGAGGCTGGGGTGCCAGCCCGCGTTCCCGTCCGGGATCAGCGGAAGGCTTGGAGGAGAGGGTCAGAGAGCACGGGAGGCGGTGCTGGGGCCAGGACTGGCGACTGGAGGAGGGGCGACCTGGGGACACACACAGTCACCCGTCTAGGGGCTGTCGCCAATACCGTGACGTATATACTGCGCGCCGAGCACGCCGTCTTTCCTAAACTCCGTCCGGACCCGGCACGCTCCTACGTGCGTGACGTTCCTCTGCTACTGGAGACGCTTTCGCGGACGGACACGGCCTTGAGCACTCATGGGACCGGGTCCGCGCTCCCTCCACAAGGCTGGCCGCCGGTTTCCAGCTGGTGACAAACGGGGGCGCGGGGCCAAGGGATCGGGGCACCCCCCACCAGGCCGCCAGCGGCCTCCGGACGGGAGCTCGGAGCCAGCCCCAGACGCGCACCCTCACCTGAGCCCCGAAGCTCTGGGGTATTTCCGCCAGGCGCTGTCAGCCCTGAAAGAGGCTCCTGAGACCGGAGAAGAGCGAGGTGGGGAGACTTCAGGGTGAGACTAAGAGAGGGATTCGCTGGACATAAGTTCTGGGATAGGCAGGAGAATTTTCATGGGTCCCCAGGGCATAGGGACTTAGTCTATGTCTCCCATATCCTCTTCGTTGCTCCCCTCTCCCTCCTTTAGTTAACTAATGGAACATAACCATCCTCCTCTTAGTCTCTAAAATATTTCTTTTCTTGTCTGTTCAGAACTGATGGTGCACAATGTTTTGAAGGAAGTGGAAGCTGAGGCCCTAGCCTTGGCCACAAACAGGACTGGCAGTGAGATTATGCAGGAACTGCTGGGATTTAGTCCCCTGAAACCGCTGTGTCGAGTATGGGCTACTTTGCGCTCCAACTTCCGCTTTGTGGCCTGTCATCGATGCGGGGTGCATGTATTGCAAAGTGCTTTGCTGCAGCTGCCTCGATTGCTGGGGAGCCCTGCAGAGAAAGAGGAGGAGGACGTGGAAGAGGAGGAAGATGGCAAGGATGGTCCCTTGGAGACTCTGGAGGAGCTGGTTTTGGGACTAGCCTCCGAGGTGTGTGATGATTTTCTTTTCTACTGTGGAGACACACATGGCAGCTTCGTGGTCAGAACTCTGCTACAGGTGTTGGGAGGGACTCTTCTGGAGTCTGAGAGAGCCAGGCACCATGGCTCTCAGTCACCTAGTAAGTATTACAAGAGGGAAGTGGACGTAGAGAAGAGGAGAGTTTAGGAAGTCCAGTAGAAGAGAGTAAGCAGAAGAGTAATTCTTGCTGACCTTAAAGAATTAGCAGAGAAATTAGGACAAGACTTAACAGGCCAAAGATTAGTGCACAAAGAGGCCCAGACGTGAGGATGCATAGGTGTGTTTGGGGGACAGCTAGTAGAATAGGCCAGGGGTAAGAGGTGATTCATGAGGAATGGGTGTCAAATTTTTTTTAAACCACAACTCACAGATTTTTTTTTTTGTTTTAAACATCACTGAACATGCGTCTGTGTATGTATACATATATTGGACTCAAGCAGAACTTTGAGAAGTTAATATATATACAACCCATTCTGATATTTTCTTTTCTGTTCTATTCTATTGAAAAATTGCTGGTTAAGATCCACTAAAGTGATTTTATGATGCATTTGTAGGCAGCGACCTACAGTTTGAAAAACTCTGGGAAATAAGGTTAGAGATTTTAGATGAGGCCTTGAAGTCCTGAGAGTTTGGCCTATCTTCTACGGACCACTGGGGAGCTGTTGAAATTTCTTAGAAAAATTAAAACAGAAACGTAGTCTCTGTTTAGTCATCCAGATGAGAAGAGGTATTCATATGTGTTCTGCATCTCCAAGCTGAATCCTTGCTCATCTATGGGATTATTCTCCCTCCTGGATGGTAGTTTGTGATCCCAGCACTGCACGTGTTCTTGGTCTTCTTTCAGAAGCACAAAGGGCCCCAGCTCGGGAAGGTAAGCCATCTGATTTTGAGGTCCCTGAAACCTTCTTGAATCGCCTTCAGGACCTGAGCTCCTGCTTTCTGAAGGACATTGCTGGTAAGGAGGGAAAAAGGAGGAGGGTCTAGGACCTGCTTTTCTGGAGGTGAACTGTCATCATCTGAGGCCCTTACTTCGATCAGTGTTATTCCTTTTCAAATCTGATCGGGTTTGATATTGCAAAGACTCTGTATAGAGCTTTTACGTCCAAAGTCCCTGATATCTTTTGCTTGAGGTTTGAGGTTGTACAGGTTGTCTGGATTTTGGAAGAGCTGCTTTTATTATTTCTGCCCTCTCCCTCAGTATTTATCACTGACAAGATCTCCAGCTTCTGCCTTCAAGTGGCCTTACAAATCTTACACCGCAAACTGCCCCAGTTTTGTGCTCAGCTCTGCAGTGCTGTGATTGGCTATCTGAGTAGCCGCAATTCCTCAGCAGATGGCAGGTATGGTCTAGGCCTCAGAGTCCACCAAAGTTGATGAGGCTGTGTGAAGTAAATGAAGTGATATGGATATTTTAGATGCAATAAAGGCTGCTTGATCACCTTCTCCTTGTCCCTAGCCCCCTACTGCTATTTCTGCGGGATCAGACGAGCTCCAGACTCCTGGAGCAAGTGCTGCTGGTGCTGGAGCCCCCGAGGCTCCAGAGCCTCTTTGAGGATCACTTCCAAGGGCAGCTGCAGACCCTGGCCGCACACCCCATTGCCAACTTCCCTTTGCAGCGTTTATTGGATGCTGTTACTACCCCTGAGCTGGTGAGTTGAGAGTGGGGCCGGATCTGTTTCTGTGCTCTGTTATTTCTGCTAGTTTTTGTTCATTGTGCCTTATTTTATTGTGTGCCTGCCTCTGCATCTCTGAGTGTGTGCTGGCCATTCCCCTTAAAGTTATTCCTGGGGGTTACTCAGAGCTTATGACGAAAGTGCCTTCTCAGAAAGGATTTGTTTTGGCTTCTCGGGTTCCAATACCAGCAGGTGACTGGCTTAATCCAAATATGCAGCTTGAGGTTCCATGACCCGTGTTTGTGGTCAACTATCTGTAGCAATACAGAGTTGGGAGTTGGGGTAGAAGGGTAGATTATTTTTTTTTTTTTTAAGATTTTATTTTTAAGTAATCTCTACACCAAATGTGGGGCTTGAACTCACAACCCAAGATCAAGAGCTGTGTGCTCTGCTGACGGAGATAGCTAGGTGCCCCTAGAAGGGCAGATTTAATTCCAGTATCCCCTTATCTTGAGAGTGTGGCCATTTAAAGTATTGCTGCTTCCCTCATGTGAGGCAGCACCTCTAAGACTGCCCCTTGTCCTAGACTTCATCTGGCCAAACCCAAATCCTGATATTGGCCATGCTTATCTAGCACTTCTAGTTGTTTTCAGCAGGAAGATTTCTCTGAATAACTCAGTCCACTGTTACAGAATGCCAAAGATTCCTCATTCTGTGCCTCCCCTCAGCTGTCCCCCGTGTTTGAGGAGCTGAGCCCTGCCCTGGAAGCTGTGCTGGCTCAAGGTCACCCCGGGGTGGTCATTGCCCTGGTGGGGGCCTGCCGCAGAGTTGGGGCCCACCAAGCCCGGGTCCTGCAGCTGTTGTTGGAGGTGAGTAGGTGTTGCCCTCAGTTCAAATAAACAGGTGTTGCCCTGTTTATGCCCTCAGTCCAAATTCCACCTGTTAGGACCTCTCTAATCTTCAGTGGTTGTATCTCTGGACTCAAGAGGCCTAATGTCCAAGGAGTTCACAGATCCAGGGAGAAATGAGGCCAAACCCATCTCATAGCCCTGGAATGAAAATTGTCTCCCAGAACTAAGAGAGCAGTTTATTTAAGGAATAAATGTTTATTCAACCCCTGTTATGTGTATAGGGGCTGGGGATACAGCAAGGCAGATGAGATCCTGCCCTTATTCAGCTTACATTCTCACATCTCCTGAATGCTTTCCTCTGTCTAGAGAGTCGGGGTTAGGGATGAGGTAGCTCTCCGATTCATCATGTTTTGTCTTCTCCTCTAGGCATTCCACTGTGCGGAGCCCCCTTCCCGGCAAGTGGCTTGTGTGCCTCTCTTTGCCACTTTGACGGCTTATGAGGTATACTATAGACTGGCAGAGGAGGAAGGGGCAGTGCCCGCAGAGCACCAGGTGAGGTAGGAGAGGGGCCAAGTCAGTGACTAATTGGGGCCAGGGTTTAAAAAGTCCTTCACCCTTGTGGTGAGGGTGTGGGGATCTCTGGCTTCATCCAGGTGGGGGTGGCACTTTGGTGGCTGCCTCCTAAATCCCTGTTTCTGTCCTACCAGGTGGAAATGGCCACGGCCAGGGCTCTGGGGGAAGTGACAGTCCTTGGGTCTCTTCTGCTTCAGCATCTGCTGCACTTCTCTAGCCCTGGTATCGTACTTCGAAGTCTGGGTGCCTTGACGGGACCACAACTTCTGACTCTCGCCCAGAACCCTGCTGGCTCCCACGTGCTTGATGCCGTCCTGACCAGCCCCTCCGTGACGCGCAAGCAGCGTCGCCGTGTGCTGAAGACCCTAAAGGTTCTGGTTTCTGCTTTGATTCCCCCACCAACATCCATTTAAGAGAACATGAGCTTGCCCTGAGACTGTCCTTCAGAATCAGAGAGGATATATCGTTCCCAGACTCTTTCGACTCAGCCCATAAACTTCTGAAACTTCACTTCCCCGTTGCCCTCCCCAGTGCACTTTTGTGGAATGCCCTAGGGGGACCTACCTTGCTTGTTTCACTGCAGGGACAATACGTGGCTCTGGCCTGTAGTCGTCATGGCAGCCGAGTGCTAGATGCCATCTGGAGTGGAGCAGCCTTGGGGGCCCGGAAGGAAATTGCTGCCGAGCTGGGTGAGTACCTGCACCTCTCTCTAACCTTTCCAAACTTCCCTCACTCCAGATGGCTGAGTGGCTGGGGAGGGGACTTAAATACAGCAGAGACTTCAGTTCAAAAGGGTGGTGTTGGCCATGGGTTCTTAGCAGTCTGCCCTCCTTTCCTCTGCTGATTATGCAGCCCTGTGCTCCCGCCCTCTCCTGGCTTCCGTTCTTTGGAGACTGAGGTATTATCCTTGAGGCCAACCCAGGGCCCAGGGAAAATGGAGGGACCTTCACCCAGGGAGTGTCGCTTTGAGCACGGGGGGTGACTGTATGATGATACTGAACATGAGTGATTCCCTTTGCAGGGGAGCGGAACCAGGAGCTGATAAGAGACCCTTTTGGCCACCACGTGGCTCGAAATGTGGCCCTGACTACTTTCCTGAAGCGCCGAGAGGCTTGGGAACAGCAGCAGGGGGCAGTGGCCAAGCGGAGGAGGGTTTTGAACTCAATACTTGAAGACTGAGGCCTTTGGACCTGGGACTGGGTGATGGGGAGGGTAGCGGGAGTATCTGTCCTGTCCCCTTCTTAGTTTAAGTTGGAATCAAAAGTCTTATTAATAAACATTTTTATATTTTTATTGGAAATGTTTTTATTATTTTGGGGAAAAGGGTATAAAGAAATAGAGATCTCAAGGTAAAATCAGAAAGGGCTGAATTCAGTGCACTAGGAAGCTTAGGGACAGGAGGAGTTGCAAGGAATCTAGATGTAGCAATGATCAGGGTGGGGTCAAGATACTTGGGGACAGGCTTGTGGCCTTTCCGGGTAAGTGGGATGCTGGAAAGATGGCTAGGAAGGGACAGCATTCTTCAGGAAGGGTATAGGCTAGGGGTGTAAGGCGTTATGCTGATGAGGCCTGTCACAATGGGGTCAGAAGGCATTGGGGAAATCAGGTGAGTTACCTAATCTGCACTGTCTTCAGATCTCCAAAGCTGATGCTGTCACAATCCTCATAGTGTGTCTCTTGGAATGAATCTAGGGGCAGAAAGCAGCTTGGGGCCCCTTCTCAGTAGGGGTGAAGGCGACCCTGCCGCTGCCAATGCCATTGTTCGGCCCCTTCTATTAAATGGCGAAGGCTGGAGGAAATTCCCAGCAACATATGGCCCAGCCCTTGCAGCAGTGCAGAGGTCCAACGGAGGAGCTCCCTGAAGGGCAGAGACAAGATGAAGTCGGATGGGTGGGGGAACATGGGAGGAGGCTATAGAGGGGGTTTTCCACAAGGGAGAGATTATGAATAGGGGAGTATAGAAGAAGGAATTAAGGGCGCTGCAACTGTAAGGGGATGAGGAAATACGACATGTTGGTCTCTGACCTGAGTACTTTCTTTGGGCCGAGTCCTTGAAAGTCACAACTCATGGAGTAGAGCCCATAGAATGTGGCTTTGATATTGAGGCTGCCAAAGAGGTCTCGAGGGTTTTGCTTGTATACGTCAAAGGTGATACGGGCGATGTCCTTGCTGTGCTTGGGCTTCTCCCGGCCCAGGCCGTATGACAGCACCCCACTCTGTAGGGTACACTCATCAGTGCCACGCACCCTCACACCCTGACACCCACAGTGTGCACTGGGCACACAGTTCCCCACCAGCACTGGGTCAGACCCACCCTTGCCTGGACTCTTTGTCCCCTGTATGGTGTCCTTGGCAACCCCTTACCTCTCCCAGTGTCTCTGCCCCCAAGATCACGGTTGGGCTAGAGAAGCTTGGGAGAGATATAAAGGATTGGTGGCTTACAGCAAGCCCCACTATGGGCCTCTCACCCTGCTGGGGGTCCAGCTCTGCCCATACTCCAGCACCATCAGGCACGTGTCATCCTCCAAAAGCTGGAAGAAGTCCTCACTCTCCACGGCGGTCCCATCCTCCTCCAGCACCAGTGTTAGCATTCCACTCAGCAGCAGGGCCTCCAGTGCCTGCCCAGCCACAGGAAGCAGGAGGGAAGGGGCAGGGCTTATCCATGCCCCTCCCTCTCCAGCTGCCCCACATCCACTGGTTGGCTCTGGATGCTGGTTGACACCCCAACTCTACTTCCTGGGAAACTGCCATTCTTCAAATGGCTCCAGCTCTTGGTGCTTAGTTGCCGGGGGACCCTCGCTAAGGGCTGACTTTTTTTAACCTAGTTGCTCCTCTGTCATTGTCCTCTTTCCCTGTTACCCTCTGAGCCAATCCTAGTGGTTTGGAATTGAAAAACTAGTCAGGTTCTCTTGAGGTCCACCCTTCTGTCTTCTCTCCAGTGTCTTACCTCACTGTCCCCCACTCTCAGAGAACTGTTTTCAGTAACAATGACCCTTAGCCTTTTTGAGTCTTCACTAGTGCCAGGTATCTATGTAGACTTTACATACATGTCCTCTTTGACTCCTTTCCACAACCCTAGGAGAAAGGTGTAACATTATTCCCTTTTTGTAGATCAAGAAACTAAAGTTTTGATAGGTTGAACAACTTCCTACAGTGTGACACTAGCAAGTGGTAGAATCTGGACTTGAACTTGACTTGTCATATGAATCACCATTCCATACTGACTTCTGAATGCCATTCCCCCAACCCTCCCTAGCTATTCCTCCTCCTACCCCCTGGAAAAGAAATAACCTAAATACAGCATTGGTCATTGGGCTGAACCGCGCCGCACCCCCCCTCCCCCACTATAGCCCTCAGAGGGAGGAGCAGCCATGTAACTAACCTCAGCCTTTCTGCTCACTCACTGTAAGTTCTCACTCTTCTCTAGCCCCTGCAGTAGGAACTTAGGGATTTGGCTCACTTACCTTATCTAGCAGTTCCTGGCGGGTGGCAGCTGTCAGACCTTTCCGGGTGGTTCGCTTGTGATCACAGACACGGAAAGGTCGCTGGGGTGGTGGAGCTGAAGTCCAGACTTTCCTGCCAAACTCAGAGCTCATACTGGATACTGACCTGGTAGTTGGGAAGAAAGGTCAAGAAGTGAGAAGTTTGGTGAATGCAGTAGGGATGATGGGGTGGGGTGCCTGGGGAGTTAGGGAGGGATCTAGGTTTGCAGATCAGAGTAGCCTAGGGAGAGACCATGGAGTGGGGGCGGTGAGTGGTGGTTCCATAGCTGGACAAGCCCGTTGTGGAAAGTGGGGGCAGGGAAGAGAAGGGGTGAGTATCAGAGTCTCCTGGGGGCCGAATGGAATTTTGTTGCCATGCCCTATCCTCAGAGTTGGAGGGTAGAAAGGAGGGTTAAAAATCACCTGAGCAGGCCGCTGGGGTTCAGGGCTGAGAGGTACTCCATGGTGGAGGGAAGGAGCAGGGGAGTTGCCTCTCCCACTGAGTTCTGGGCTGTGTGGTTCTCTGCTGTGCTGGGGCTGAAATGGTGGTGTTTTCAGCTACACAGCTGGGATCTCAGCTCCAGTGAGGTGGGAGATGAGTCAACCCGGACTCTGGTCCCCCCTGCCTGGCCAGTAAGAAGGGCAAAGTCCAAGGGGAGGGAGAGAAGGAGGGGCCTAGATGGGATAGTGGAGGAGAGATTGAGGCCCAGAGTTGCCCACAAAAGTCATGAGGCTTTTGTGCGTGCGTGCGTGTGTGTGTGTGTGTGTGTGTCTGTGTCTGTCTGTCTGTCTGATGGCAGTGTGTGCTGAGGATAAATGGGAACTATGTAAGGATGGAATGTGGTCTCTGGTGTTTTTCTTTCTATGGAGAGAATTTCTAGGAATAGTTCCTGGCTCCCAACCCTAGAGAAGCTGCGTTATACATGATTTGCACTGTACTTGCTGCCACCTACCGTGAAAGCCATAAACTGCACCATTAGGAAAGGGGAAGCCAGGCTGCAGGTGGGATCATGGGCAGAGCTTGGAGGAAATGAAGGGTGAGACAGTGTGCCAGGGTGGCGTGTGAGGAGAGGATGGATCCTGTTCCCTGGATCCAGGATCACCAGGATCCTGTCTGGGACCCTGGCCTTCCTGCTTTCCTGCTTCTTCCTCCGTCTAGGGGAGGGGCCGGCTCAACATTTCTCTGGCTTCAATCTCCAGAACTGCTCACTTCAGCTACACTGCATTAGTCACTTTCTCTCTCACCTTTCTCTTTTGGCCACTGAATCGGCGTGAAGGAGATGTGAAGGGGAAGGGGGTTGTCTTTTGATGGCATCAAGACTGGCTTTGGGTGCCCTGAGTCCCATCTCTGATTTCAGCTATAGTTGTGGATAGTTGTATGGCAGCTCAGACTCTCACTAAGACTGAACCCCTCACATGAGTGTAAATCTCTGCTTTCCTGCCTAGGTGTTTGAGGCTGCGGCAGCCCACTCAGCCTCCTGACACGTATAGGCTGCAAGTGTGTATAATGCCTCTAGGACAGCCCTCAAACAGTGAAGAAGGCAAGCTGGGCATCAGTGCCCCAGTCTTCTGTCTTTCTGGAAGGCATTCTGTGTAATTCTGAGAGCTTCCTAATCCTTACTGAAGAGACTCAATAACACACTTATTTGGCTCTCTCTTTCCCTCTCCTCCCCTGCTCCCTCACTTCTACTTCCTGAGCTGACTTCCCAGATGCAGAATTACCTGTACCCATGCTAATTCAGGCTGTGCTTTGGAAGTAACCCAAACTGAGACAATACTGGTGTCCTGGCTCCCAAGGAGTGCCCAGTTCTAGCTGGTAACTGGGCAGGGGTCTTTCCCCTTACCTCAACTTAAGTGTACTAGGTCCCCCTCAAATTTCTTCATTTCCAGGCTTTGCCCAGAGAAGGCTTCTTTTCAGTATGTCTCTACCAATGCATCCTTTCCTACCTTCTTATCTCGTAGCTCCGTAGGATGGTCTCTTTGTGGTTGTGTGTTATGATTCCTCAAAGAGCTGATAAGTCCCTTGTACCTCCAATGCATCCCCCAGAACTCAGCACTGTGACTGAAAGCTGTCATTGGTAGCCCTTTGAGAGCCCTGGGAGTAGAAAGAATGGAGCAGGGCATAAGGTAAGAGATGAGAGTGATGTGGGTGCATAAGGCAAGCTAAAGGCAGAGCACAAACTAACAACTCCCCTGCCCCCAGGTGGGATATGTGTGATATTCCTCAGGCACTCCTAGCTGTGCAAGAACAAAGATAAGAACAGAAAACAATGGTTAAACTGATAGAGATCACAGGACCTGAGTCTCCATCAGTTTACAAATATCTTAGTAAATTACAAGAAAAGGGCAATCTCATCAATAGTCCAATCTCCAGGACTGTCTTAATGCTCCCTACTGTCTTAATGATAATACTTTGCTAGAGGGCAAAACAGCCTTAGCTTGGCAATAGCTAGGCCCCCAACAATCTGTAACTCCTCTTTAGCATATGGAAATCCCTTCAAGAAACTTCCTCTTGACTTTATCTCCTTCAGCTCCACAGTATATAAAGGATCACCCCCTCACACTTATAAACTGCTCTTCCTGCCCACAGGTTCTGTCCCCATGCTTTAATAAAGTCACCTTTTTGTACCAAGGACATCTTCAAGAATTCTTTCTTGGCCGTCGGCTCTGGACATCACCCCCATAACCTCAAAACCTCATCAAGAGGAGTAGGTAGCAGGCTGAAGAAAAAGAGGGCTCAGCAGGATCAGAAGTCAGGAAACAGGTCAAAATAGAGCAGTTGGGGGAACGAGTAGTTTGGGTCACCTTCTCTGCTGAGTGTAGGCCAGGGAAGCCTCAGCACGTGGTGACAACTGTCCCAACAACTGGGGCCAGAACTGCCCGAGGGATGAGGGCAGATGCAGGACCCAGGATTTTGTAGTGTCCCTACTTACCTACACGATCAGGGAACCTTATCTGTATACCTGCAGGTAGTCCTGTTTCCTAGGGAAGCAGCCTGTCACATGCCTGGACCTGTTAGTGATGGGAAAGGGTAGAGTGCGGGAGGAGCCCCAGGAAAGGCCTGAGAAGAACTCCACCTCGTCCCTCCCTATTCCTAGTCTCACACTGCAAATCTAACTGGCAGAGGACAGGAGTAGGCACCTCACTCACTGCTGCTGTGCCTTTCAGCTTCTCCAGCCCCCTCGTGGGCCTGATCCTACTAGCTCCCAGGTGGGTAAGTAGATCTGCGCATGCACCTTTACTTCCCACCACTCATTTTGCCCGAAGGTATAAGGAATGGGGCTGGACAGAGAAGCAGCCCAGCTAAAGGGGTAGAGGTGGAGGTAGTGGCAGCCTGGGAGTCAGGACTGGGGAGGTCGGCTGACTGACAGCAGGGGATTTGGGTTCCAAGAAGTAGTGATTGAGTAGGGGCCAGGGTAGGTCAGGAAGTCAGTCAAGGCTTTTAGAAGAGAGGAAAGTGGGAGGAAACGCAGTCCCTTCTCACCTGGCATGAGGGGTACCCCGGGCTTTTGCCCCACCCCCTAAATGCCCTCCATGGCCTTTTCCATCTCCCGGTAGGCACAGAATGCTGGCCTGTTACCGACCCCCGGGGAACGAGACGCTGCTGAGCTGGAAGGCCTCGCGGGTCACAGGCACGGCCTTCCTGCTGCTGGCGGCGCTGCTGGGACTGCCGGGCAATGGCTTCGTAGTGTGGAGCTTGGCGGGTTGGCGGCCCGCAAGGGGGCGACCGCTGGTGGCCACGCTGGTGCTGCACCTGGCGCTGGCCGACGGCGCGGTGCTGCTGCTCACGCCTCTCTTCGCGACCTTCCTGGCGGGGCAGGCGTGGCCGCTGGGCCAGGCGGGCTGCAAGGCGGTGTACTACGTGTGCGCGCTCAGCATGTACGCCAGCGTCCTGCTCACCAGCCTGCTCAGCCTGCAGCGCTGCCTCGCCGTCACCCGCCCTTTCCTGGCGCCCCGGCTGCGCAGTCCGGCCCTGGCCCGCCGCTTGCTGCTGGCCGTCTGGCTGGCCGCTCTGCTGCTCGCCGCCCCGGCCGCCGTCTACCGCCACCTGTGGGGAGACCGCGTGTGCCAGCTGTGCCACCCGTCGCCGGCCCACGCCGCGGCCCACCTGAGCCTGGAGACGCTGACCGCCTTCGTGCTTCCTTTCGGGCTGGTGCTCGGCTGCTACGGCTTGACGCTGGCGCGGCTGCGGGGCGCCCGCTGGGGCGCCGGGCGGCGCAGGACGCGGGTGGGCCGGCTGGTGAGCGCCATCGTGCTCGCCTTCGGCTTGCTCTGGGCGCCCTACCACGTGGTCAACATTCTGCAGGTGGTCGCCGCGCTGGCTCCGCCGGAAGGGGCCTTGGCCAGGCTGGGCGGGGCGGGCCAGGCAGCGAGAGCTGGAACTACAGCTTTGGCCTTCTTCAGCTCCAGCGTCAACCCGGTGCTCTACGTCTTCACCGCAGGGGATCTGCTGCCCCGGGCAGGTCCCCGCTTCCTTACAAGACTCTTTGAGGGCTCTGGAGAGGCCCGAGGCGGGGGCCGCTCTAGGGAGGGGACCATGGAGCTCCGAACTACCCCTCGGCTCAAAGTGGTGGGGCAGGGCCGGGGCGATGGAGACCCTGGGGGTGGGGTGGAGAAGGACAGTCAGGGATGGGACCCTTGACACCAAACCCTACCAACCCGGCCTGCTCTTCCCTATCCCCTTCCGTCGTCCCTCCCCCAGAACTCAGGGAACAACTGGAGCGTTTGGGGAGCCTTCTCTGGCCACAGTTTGGATCATTCTGGGCAGGCCCAGGTTCCTCCAAACTGAGGGATTGCAAGTGGTGGTGGTCCTTGTTAGTGAATATTGTGTGCCTGCAGGTAGGCATGGGCCTACATGCCAGAACTGCTTACTTGTTGCCAATAGCTACTGTGAAATACACTGAGGAGGGGGGCATTACATGATGGGTTAAGCATGCCCACACTGGTAGTTCATTATGCCTGAGTTGTACTGAAGCCACCTGGTTCTCTGCTGGGTCAGTCCAAGGCTGGGCACTGCCAGCCTTCAGTGGCATCTTGACTTGTCCTCCCGACTCTGGGTGGCCTGGTTCCCTCCAGCCAAGCCATAGACCGCTCCGGAAATAAAGGGAGAAAGAGGAAGGAAAGGTATGGAGGCTTGAATGAGAAAATGGGGATGGGAGCCACTTTCTGCAGTCTGAAAGAGTTGAGTGGAGAAAACGCCAGCTCTGGAAGTGGAAAGACAATGTGTGGGGTTAGAAAGGAAAGTTTTCCTCTCTTGTGGTTGGTGCAGTGTGGGGAGGGAGGCTGGGAGCCCTGTCTTCCTCTCTGAATCCAACTCTTCCCCCCGAAGGTCACCTGACTCAAAAAGGAGCCCAGGAGCAGGCACAGGCTCACCCAGGGGACATTTGGGGCTTGGGGTGAGGGGTACGGGGATTGTGTGGATGACTGGAGGACAGGAAGTTCTCAGGGAGGTGACATCTCTCCTTGGTCTCCTTTTTTCTCTGCCAAGTCTTGACTCCTCCCAAGACTGCTAGCTGTTGCTCACTGCCCCCCCATACCCCTTGGCCCCCATCTTTTGGAATCTCTCTATCGCTAGGTCCCCAAACTGTTCTGAATCCTGACGCTTTTGAGTTTGAGGATGTAGGATGGAGTTCAGAGGACGTCCACATGCACACACATGTGGTCGCTAGGGTGACTAACATCCCCGTTTGCCCAAGACTTTCCCAGTTTCACCACCAACAGTTTCTTGTCCCAATCCTCAGTCCCTGGCAAAACTAGATGGCTGGTGACCTGAGTGCTCACCCGGACCACCATCCCAGGTTCTGCTTTAGTGACTGTTCACATCACTCAGACAGAGGCCAAGAAAGAGTAAAGGAAATTCAGTCTGCAGGGTCACGCCAGGGGCACCCAAACTGGGGCAGGGTGGAGCTCTGCATCTGGGGGGCAGGAAGTATGCTTAGAGTATCTAGCCTGGGGTGGAGGAAGAAAGGCTGTTGAGAGACATGGAAGTGGGGAGCAGTTTGGGAGAGGAGGCGAAGACAACCCAGTTTCTGTCAGGAGGGGCCTCTGGTTGACCCCTGAGCTCTGGGCCAGAACTTGCATCCTCTGACACTGACAGCGGGAACTTCTTCCTGTTCTCATGTGTCAGGGCAGAAGTTCCCTAACTTCCTCCCTTCCATAGTCCCTGTCTTACAACCTCTGTGGTCAGAAAGCCCTTCCTCAACTCTGCCTTCCTGCTGTGGTTTCAGCCCATTTCTTTGCATCACATCCTCTGTCTCACGGCTACTGGGTCAGCTCTGCACTGGCCCTTCTCAAAGCAGAGAGGGTAAAGGACCTCAGTGACCACCAAAGATGGACCAAAGTGCATCTTTCCTGGGAAGTGACAGAGTTGGAAAGGAAGCAGAAAGGCTCATGGTCAGATTGAAGGAAAGACTTTTCAGTTCTCAGTCCCTGCAGAAGAGGTCAAAGGGAGAGACTGCACTCCTTCCAGGAAGGGAGAAGAGTGACCATTCTTTTTTTTTTATTAAAAATATTTTTTTTAACGTGTATTCATTTTTGAGAGACAGAGAGAGACAGAGCATGAGCGGGGAAGGGGCAGAGAGAGAGGGAGACACGGAATCCGAAGCAGGCTCCAGGCTCCAAGCCGTCAGCACAGAGCCCGATGCGGGGCTCGAACCCACGAACTGCGAGATCATGACCTGAGCCGAAGTCGGACGCTCAACCAACTGAGCCACCCAGGCGCCCCGAAGAGTGACCATTCTTGGGGCTGTTCCTCCCTGTACATTCCTGGTTTCCCCTCCTGGCAGGGCAAGCATAACGCATCACTGCCCCTACTTCCTCTCCCTATGCTCAGCCTCCACTTTCTCTGTGTGTCTGAGGTGGGACTGGACAGCCAACTATGGGAAGGTAGGAAAGAGGTGATGCTGACCTCCTTGCCCAGCGCCCAGATCTTCAATCCAAATTCATGTGGCAGGGTAGCCACACGTCCAAGCACAAGGGAAGTGGTTGGGGAAGGGGAAGAAATTGGCATTCTGTGTAATACAAAGGAGGTCCTTTGGACTTTGGCTTCTGCCAAGAAGAAGAATTGAACCAATCTTTTTACATGAGGGAAGGGATGGGGGGGTTCTGGAAGAGCCCGACCCCCCAACTCTGCTCATGGCTTGAACCCAAGCCAAGGACAGACAGAGTGCTGTCCTCTTCAAGTCCTGATGTTACCTAAACCCAAAGCCATAACCTAGCCACATCTTCCTGGAGGACAGGAAGTTCCCAGGGAGGTGGCATCTCTCCTTTGTCTCTCTGCGAAGTCTCGATGCCTCCCAAGACTGTTAGTTGTTGCTCACTTCCTATTAATCTAAAAATTATTACATGATATTATTTACATGACATGTAAAGATATCCAACATTCTGGCCTCTCAATATGAGCCCATTTCCCTTCTCCAGCTTCCTTCCCTCCTTCTCCTGTATGACCCAGGGCAGTTCTCCAGTCTAGACCTGCATCTGAGGCCACACCCCAGCCTACTCACTCCCCTCACCCCTCTTTCCTCTCCCTGCACCTTCTTGGGCTCTTCTCATCTGGTCCCACCCCTGAGGAGTCCTCCTCCCTGCTAGGCTCTTCTGGAACATAAAGACCATCCCTCCCCCCTCCCCAGTGAAGGGAGGGCTAGGAGTTTCAGCCCCACCCTCAGGAAGATGTGTCTTCCCCCTCCTCTGCTTCTTGGTACTTCCTCTCTGGCCA